GAAGCGCGCCAAGGGCGTCGCCGGAGGCGCCGCAAGGGCGCTCCAGCGCAGATCCAAGAAATCCGCGCGGAACGCCAAAAAGCTTCTGTTTATGGCATTCTTTCTTCCTCGATGCCATGGAGTAGAGTTAGGTCTGAAATGTCCACCCGCAGGCGGACTTCGTAAGAAGAGTTAACATAGTCTACAACTATCCAACAGTAGTCAAAAGAGCACGAAGCATCGCCATCAGATGTTTGTTACTGCTCTTGAACGTTCCTCCTGTAGGGGGACATGCCCGATTTCGCGCTGGGAGTAGAGGAACACACAAACGCACAACCATAACTTATCGGAGGCCGGCGCGCATTCCTGGCATCAGCGCTGGACCCCCCCTCTCTGGCGCGCGGAGCGCGCGGGGGGCGGCGCCAGAGGCGCCGCAGGGGGGGGGGCCCGACGCCGATCAAAAGAATCCGCGCGGACCTCCGAGATATTATGTTTTTGCTTTGGCTGGTTGCTCTTCCCGGATAGCTCTCTGGGGGCTACAGAAGCTTCAAATTAGAAGCCGGCCGGCAAAAGTAGTCTCGGAGCTCCTTCCGGCTTCCGTGAAAAATCCCCGCTGCTGGCTGCTTGAACCGAAAATCTGTCCCGAGAGGCCTTCTCTAAGCGTGTCCCAATACGTGTCCAGAATTTTTCCAGAATCTCCTTCGGAAGCTCCTCCCACGAACCTCCAGAGCTCTGTCGAGAGACCCTTGGACGGCCTTCTGGTGCTCCGCTACCCGGTTTTTGGACTCCACGAGTTCAAATAGAAGAAGAACAAACGGCGGCAACATACACTTTTGGTGCTCCACGCGGATTTCTCGGATATGTGCCAGGGGCGGCGCCCCTGGCGCCGGCGAGGGGCCCCAACGCGGATCCAAGAAATTCGCGCGGAGCGCCAGCAGTTTATGTTGATGCCTTGTTTTTCTCCCCTGCCTCGATCAAAGGAGGAGGGGGGACTCGTTGCCCAAGCCTCCCCTCGAGGAGACGGGGCGCGAGGTCCTGGTGTTGTGGATGCCCCGGCAATGGACACCCTAACAGTCCGATCATTTAACTTTAAGTGTGTTTAACATGCAGGAAACATGTTCTAAACACGTTGTAACATGTTTTTAATGTTTAAACCATGCTTGATACATGGTTTAGACACCTGGATGTTTTTTCGCAACAGGCTTTCTCTCCATTGATCGTACTCCACATAAGGAATCGAACTCTATACACCGACGCTTTTTCCGACTCTGCACTGAAATTCGCACAGGAACGCGGATGCTGATGTGTATACAGGATCCTGGTGTACACATTTTTCGTTGTTTCCCTTGGAAGGCGGGGACAAAGTATACACCACACCACCCCGACGTCGTCCCCGACCCTCAAGAAGTCATGGGATTGAAAAAGCAACCCTCCACTGGTAATGTACATGTTCCAGTTTCCGACCACAATCCTGGTCCAGCTCCCAGTGCCCCAGAGACGCGGCCCGCAACGCCCCGCGGATCTCGTCGTCCCCGCGGGCGCCGGACGGGTCCGCGTTGGCCCGCACCGTGCCCGTCAGCAGGAAGTTCTCCTTGTGAGGAGGGCCCCGACTCCCTCGCCTCGGCCCAGCAGCGCGGCGGGGAATGTTCGGCAACTTCCGGCGTTCGGATACGAATGCGCAGTGGCTGAATTTAGACGAGCGCGTTCCACTACTCGCACAATAGCTACTCGCAAATCGCCTGGGTCCGCCGCGGGGGAACTACGATAAATTACATCGAAGCAGACGTGTGTTTTTGTCGGGCGTTGATTGTACGGGAAACGTTCGGCGACTTCCTGGTTTCAGGTCGGGCGTGTCCTCCTACAAGCGGATTTTGGACGAAAAACAATAAATATGCAAACCAGACTCCAATATAGTAAAACATATGGGACAAATCCTCCCGAAACAATTTTTCCACTATTTTTGAATATTCCTCCTGTAGAGGGACAGGCCCGACTTAATCCTGGTTTCGTATACGAATGCGCAATGGCTGACTTACAGTCGGCCTTGATAGGACAGGACACGCGAGAGGACACACGACCCTTTTGAGGGCCACATCGCCATGGGATTGTAGGAAGGCACGTGTCGCGAGGCACAGGACACAAGTGTACACTTGAGCTGGCAGGGTCGACCTACTAATCTGGGCCGACTGTATACAGCGGAGGCCAGTCCACAAGAAACCTTCCGCAAGAAACCCAACCCTGGAGCCCAAGAACGTCGATCGATTTTTGGGTATGTGACCGTCACGCTTTCCGGCGCAAAACCCTCGAAGCCCAAGAAACACAGGGCACCCTGGAGGCAACCAAGGTGTTTCTTGGTATTGGCCTCCCTTGTGATTCAGCCATCGCCAGGATGTGGGACTTGTAAGCAACTGCCCGGGACGAAAAACCTGTCCCCAAGATTGAGTCGAAGTCTCTGAGGAGCCAACTTGCAAGAAACATCCTGACGTTCGATGTCTGGGGTGAAGGAGGGGGAAGAGGTGGCTGTTTTGAGGCTGATGAGGAGCTCCTGCGGGATGGCCGTCACTGCGGTACGCAGCTTCTCGAGGCCGATATTGCGGATGTCCTTGGGGAAACAAAAATATACCAATGCGGCGTTCTGACCAGAATTTCGAGGCGAATCCAGCCGTGGCGACGAGGGCCTCCTAAAAGGCCGAAAACATCGAAAGCAAAGCCAGGGTAGCGGTACCAGCACATTTTCCACCTCTGAGTCCTCGCCGTCGACGAAGACGGAGCCCGTGCCTGAGCCGATCTCGACGGTCCTGAGCAGCACGCGCAGCAGCGTGGACTTGCCACTCCCGGTGCCGCCCACGATGGCCACGCGGTGGCCCGGCAGCACCTGCAGGCTGACGCCCTTCAGCGCCAGGGGGAGGTCGTCCCGATAGCGCATGGAGACCTCAGACGCACGACTGGCAAGGCTTCGGGCCGCGCGCAGCCCCGCCAAGTGGTCACAACTGGCCTCGAGCTCCCCCCGCGCAGCCCAGGGCGGCCCCCGCACCAGGGCGCCGCCTCCAGCGGCGCTAGGGGCGCCCCAAGGTTGACGTGTTGAGACCGCCCCGTGGCTGCTCCGTGGGCCTGTGGAGGCCAGCCCTGACTACCTGGGGGGGGGCTGTCTGCACGCAGCCCGATGCCTTACCCCCGAGCAGAGCTGCCCCGTGGCCCGACCCAGACGGCAGGCTGCTCCCATCTCTTCGATGCGTGGGCCCCGGAGGTCTGGACTGCACTTCCGTATATAGGGTCGGCTCTTCGTCCCGAGCCGTCCTTTGACGGTCCCAGGGCCCGCCGAGGGCCCCCGGAGGCCGCAAGCAACCAAAAACCGCTCGCTCCCATTCTGATGGGGCGACGGATCTCTGGGGGGCCCGGTCCAGCCGGCAAGGGCCCACCCGACGGTGCCAGCAACCCGCCGGGTCGAGGGCCCGGTCGCCCGCTCCGGGCCCCAATCGATCGATATGGATCGGCGGGATCGGCGGCCTGGAGGAGGAGGAGGAGGAGGAAGAGGAGGAGGAGGAGGAGGAGGAGGAGGAGGAGGAGGAGGAGGAGGAGGAGGGAGGAGGAGGAGGAGGAGGCGAGAGGGAGGAGGAAGGGGAGGAGGAGGAGGAGGAGGAGGAGAGGAGGAGGAGGAGGAGGACGAGGAGGAGGAGGAGGAGGAGGAGGAGGAGGTGAGGAGGAGGAGGAGGAGGGAGGAGGGGGGGAGGAGGCTGAGGAGGAGGAGAAGGAGGAGGGATGAGGATGAGGATGAGGATGAGGATGAGGATGAGGATGAGGATGAGGAGGAGGAGGAGGAGGAGGAGGAGGAGGAGGAAGAAGGATGAAGAGGAGGAGGAGAGGAGGAGGAGGAGGAGGAGGAGGAGGAGGAGGAGGAGGAGGTGGAGGAGGAGGGGAGGAGGCTGAGGAGGAGGAGAAGGAGGAGGGATGAGGATGAGGGATGAGGAGGAGGAGGAAGGAGGAGGAGGAGGAGGAGGAGGAGGAGAGGAGGAGGAGGAGGAGGAGGGAGGAGGAGGAGGAGAGGAGGAGGAGGGAGGAGGAGGGAGGAGGAGAGGATGAAGAGGAGGAAGAGGAAGAGGAGGGGAGGAGGAGGAGGAGGAGGGAGGAGGGAGGAGGAGGAGGAGGAGGAGGAGGAGGAGGGAGGAGGAGGAGGAGGAGGAGGAGGAGGAGGAGGAGGAGGAGGAGGAGGAGGAGGGGGAGGAGGAGGAGGAGGAGGAGGAGGAGGAGGAGGAGAAGGAGGAGGGGGAGGAGGAGGAGGAGGAAGAAGAGGAGGACGAGGAGAAGGAGGAGGAAGGAAGAGCGCCGACCGCCGGACCAGGGTCTGCCGTGGGTCTGGGGCGTCCAAGAGGAGGGGGGGCTCGCCAGTCATGACCCGAGGCACGTGCGCGGCCCATGGAGAACCAGGAGACGCGCGAAAGAAGGAGGAGGGGGCCAAGAAATCCAGGAGGACTTTGAGGCCCTGGCGATGATATCCACCCGTCCCCTCTAGTCAGCACCCCGTCTTGGCCGCCCCCGAGTGAAGGTTATGTTGCATACTTGGGGGACCTTGTCTGTCCCGTCGCGGCCCTATCCGCGTCGAATCCTTGTCGAATCCAAGTCGGCCTCGGCGGATCCGTGTCGAACCGCGTCGAATCTACGCCAAATCCGCGTCGAGCCCGCATCGGGCCCACGTCGGGCACAAGAGGAGACACCAATGTTAGGGACAGGCGAGGTGTCACGAAACTGCAATGATGAGCCCATTTCTCACCACCACTACCATAAGTAGGAGAGGAGGGAGGATGAGGAGGAGGAGGAGGAAGAGGAGGAGGAGGAGGAGGACCTCCTCATCCTCCCTTCTTCCCCGTCCTACGTATGGTAGTGGTGGTGGAAAATGTGGCCATCATGCCACGGAATGAAATAACAAAAACACCGCACCAGCACAGAACTGGCACAGAACTGTTGGAGGTGTGCGCGGACTGCTCCGATCGGCGCACGGGGCCCCTCGGGCGGCGCCGCCAGCCGTGCCCTGCAATATGGGCCCTCGAGGACTGGTCGAGGAGTGGTGGACGTGGACGTGGACATCCGAGGGGACACACAGAGACACACGAGTACGATATGTCCTCCTTGGAGGCGCGCGTCTGACCTGAACAAATCATAGACCCATCTTGTAGTAGAGCGTTTCCCGAGCGGCGTGGCCAGAAAGCACCCACCACGACGTATATACTATGAGACTTCTCGGTGCGCGCGTCGCCCAAGGGGGGCGACGCACACATAGTACTAGTATGTCGGGGTGACGCCGATCCGCGGGACTGCTTCCTTCAATCCAGATCGTGAGCAGCTGTTCGTCCATTCCAGCCGCTGGGAGCCTCTTCGGACCGTGGGGCCATCCCGAGCGGGAGTGCGTGCTGAAAGCTGGCCTTCGGCGGGCAGGGGTCAGGAGCTCCTGGGGGCCGCGAGTGGAGAAGGTCGGGGGGCCAAAACATATACACCACCACCACCCCCTCCCTCCCACTCGCTGGAAGGAGGAGCGAGGAGGAATCGACGTGGTGGTGGTGTATATTATGTGGGCCCCCAAAGGTCACGCCGTCGGGCGCCTTGGCTCCCCCGCCTCGGCGCCTTGCCCTGCCGATGGGCCCCCGCGGACCGGTCAAGGCGTGGTGGCCGAGGAGGAGGAGGATGAGGAGGAAGAGGAGGAGGTGGAGGAGGAGGAGGAGGAGGAGGAGGGGCAGGAGGAG